TAACTACCATGACTAACGAGTCGGGCGAAGTGCCACCGAAGAATCTTGGCTAACCGAGCGGGAAGGTAGGTCGAACGAAACGCTTCCAGCTCTAATATTTTCGGCTGTCAGAGGGTGGTCCAGGAGACCCCTTTGCTTTTTCCACCCCGTCCGCCTCGCTTTTATTTTAATTGGTCCTTAATCTATTTCTTCCGCTGCCATGAACACCTTCCCCACCTCTTGGCTTTAACCTCGTTCCCTTTGCCTTTTGTCCTGACGCTTCGTTCGCCTTCAAACACGTTCGTCTAATCTGGACCGATCGATCCGCGAGTATCAACATCATCGCGCGACTGTAATCGGGACGCTCTCGATACAACCAATAATGAAAATCCCCGTCGTTCGATTCGCCAGCGTACGCGCGACGTTCGACTAGGGGAAGGCCCCGAGTGTCCCTTAAATTTTCCAGGGATCACTGATCAAATTATTTTCAGACTTTGGTCGACGATCCTTGACCCGTTAAACCCCTGTGACGCCATATGGCACCAGTGGCCATTTTGCGGCGAGATGCTTTTCGCTTGGACTAAGAGCGTTGTATCGATTAACGCGGGGAAAATTTCTTGTTAACAGTGGAATTTATCTGCGCGCAGGCAGATAGATGTCTAGGAAGTGTTCTTTATCGTTCAGAGCGAAGATTCTACTACTGATCCTCCCCGTTTCGCGTTCTTACCCACGACCACTCTGCCACCCCTTAGGTACAAAAGTAAATTAGATATACCGTATTCCAACCTCCTCCATTGCTCCATCATCCCCTCTCGAGCAACGCGGAAATTCTCTTCGACGCTTCGTACTGGATCAAGGATCTTCTCCCAAACGTTTCGAAAACATTCTAGGGCGGACGTCGTTTCCCCTTCGTCGAAACGGAGACGTCGCGATGTCTGGTGGTTTTTATCGGTGTCGATGGAACATGAAATGGGAAATGGAAAACCCTCGCGTAACCAGATCGTCCAGGATGACGCGTCCTTGCTCGATAAGTTACCAGCTGGCTCGTCGCGATTGGTCGCGAACTCGGTTCCAGGGAAAACTTTGAAAAGTTCTCGGTGATGGACGGCCACGCGGACCAGTGGAAGTCCCGACGCGACCACTGGGTCACCGGGACCGTCGCGGAATGCCGCGTTAACGGGGATCGTTTTCACCCTCGATTCGCCCCCGAATCGGCTGCTACGTGGGAAAATAAATTTTTCAGAGCTGTCTGGTCTCGGCGTGACTCGACGGCGGCCAACGTTACCGGGAAGAAATACGCGAACGCCGAACGTCCCAGCCAATTTCCGTCGGAATCACGTTCTTACAGGTGGCACGAATATTTCATCCCTCCCCCTACCCACCCACCCACCCCTACCGACCCTCATCTCTATCCGTTTAGCCGCTTCAATTTTTTATGCTGCCATCCACGCAGCCGAAACGGCAACGTAAATTAACCGGGAGCGTATCAGGGGAACTGTTAAAATTCAACGCGACGCTTATAGCGCGTAGGGGTTCCCAGGGAAGTTACGAGAACGTATACAATTGCGTGCGCTGATAACGCAGAGATAGAAACAATGCGTTTTTTTTTGTTAACTTTAGAAAAACGTATCAATGTATACAGTCCTGTATATTCGAATACAGCAGTGACAACGAATTCAACGCCCCTTCGAATCTGTAAACAACGAATCCTGAAATTCCAGGCCAATTTTCCGATTTCTACCCCGACGCGAAACGTAAATCTTTTTGAGCATGAAACTAACATCCGACGAACATGCGTCACGAGCTTATCTAGCGCTATTTTTAACCATAAACCAGCGCGAATCTGAAACGCGTTTGCAAAAATGCAACGAGGTAATATGTCACCTGAACGCCCGAGCGGGACAGAGGCGATCGTTTTAACGAACACGCGACGGGAACGGTTATTTGCTAACCTAATTCAGCGGATGACCGACGTTTCTGGACCGCCAGGATTATGGACAGAGGTTTATCGCGCAGAAATGAATATTTCAAGCTGGAACTTCCTCTCGAGAGGAAGCGTGTTGCAGCGGGTGATTTTAATCAGCGCGAGTTCTATACCGCGCGAAATCTCCAAGGGGGGACGCGTTGCGTTTTGAGGACGCCCTCGACGGCAAAAACACGCACGGGCTGATTTTTCGGGCATCGCGACCATAAAATGGCGTACAGCGATCGTTTCGCGAGGGAGACGTACGCACTTTCTTCGTGAGATGCACTCAAGTATATTCTTTTTCTTTCGTATTCAAAACATAACATCTTTCCAAACTTAACATCATAAATTAATAAATAAATATATATATATATATATATGTACATTGCGCGTCGCGACGCGTAGGACTCACCACGATGGTGGATCAAGAAGGCAGAAGAACAATGGAAGAAATTCGTATGGACGCGTGTCTTGTTTGGTCTTGTTCTCAACCGTTTCAAGCACTTCTAGTAAAGCCGAGCAGCTACACGTAAGATGCACGAAGAGATGGCTACACTCGGATACAAGGACGAACAGAATACGCGCTTTAAGATCTTTATCCGTCGTCTTTCTACCCTCGATCCATTTCTGAAGTGGGTTCTACACGTTGCAACGCACCCTGCATATTATTTATGTCTATATATATATATATACCCTTAGGTCTGTATAAACGTGTAATTTCGTCTCTAAATATACTCGGTGTTGTAGTGTGTCTACTGGTAAAGGTCGCGTCTATTATTGCTTCAATTAACAAGACGACTGTAGAACGGTCCTCTCCGATCGATCGGCGATGAAAGGAATACGGGGACCGTCTTCCAGCTTATGAACTCTAACGCGTGTCTTTTTGCTCCCTGAAATGCACGCCTAAGCGCAGAGGAACGCGTTAACGCGATTGCTTCTTCTTCTTCTATTCCTTTAAACTCGCTTCTCGTTAATCCTTTGCTTGAGGTAGCCGGCTCCGTTACGCGAAAGCCTCGTCGCTAGCGATGGGATCGAGCAGCTTCGAATCCCGATCAGCTGGTATTCGAATGCACCGTAAGTATTTCGAGAAGCAGATGCTTCCGATGCTCGAGTGGGTACTGTTGGCACGCGAGAAGAATGTCACGTACTCCGCTCTTAGGTCGTGCCACAATCTAACGCCGAAACCACCATTGCGCAGGTATGTAAGTAGGGGGTAGAGGAAAATTGTCACCCACGTGAACTGCAAATTTTGAAATGGGCGTGTACGAAGACAAAAGGGTTTCGCGGAATGCTACCGGTCAACCCCAAGGGGTCGGAGTTTGTCGCCCTCTGTTCACGCGGCAGCTGCACTTCAGGAAACAAAAGCAACGTTATTCTTTTACGAGAAGTACTCGAACCCTCGAAACGAGCTTGGATTATTCGACTCGAATTCGCGAGTGGATATCGAAGCATGATCCCATCGCTGCTCGTCGGGCTGACGCCAGGCTTCGCTGAACCAGAGAATGGAAAAGGAGAACGACAGAGACGGATGCCTGAAAAGGCGGAGCTAGAAGGGCAGTGAAGACGGATAAGAGAAAAAGACAGAGAGTAATCTCGAGGGATGTTAGTCTAGAAGGGTTTAAACGGACTAACGAGACGCCGCTTTGATTTGATTTGTCACTACGTTTAAATGCGAAATGAACGCCCGCCTCGAGAAACACAGCGCGCAGCATTTGCACTGAACCAACGGAATCCGACGCAATCCGTGAAAATAAATACGCCACCCCCCTACCACCCCCCTCCCCTCGACACCGTGCCCAACTACAACGAGCACGCCTGTGCAACACCCCCCCCCCCCCCCCCCCCCACCCACCCCGTACCAATTTACATTCCAAGTCAGATTGCGTTCGTCCAGTGAAAATGCATTCTGCTTCTACGGGTTGGCGCAACTATCTCGGAAGACATTTCATTTTCGACTCGTACACCCGGTAGACCACGGCGTGAACGATCCTCCCGTTATCGCATCGGTCGATTCGATCGCGGTGATCGATGCGAAGGGCAGTGGAGGGCCATCGTTGGCACTCGTCGTGAAAAGAGCTATTTTTTTTGGGTAACAGGCACTTGTACCCGAACAATTAGAGGCAGTTGTTCAATTCATGCGCGATGGGATAATTGTAATAAACCTGATTGTTATCTACGAGAGGAAATTTCATAGGTCTGATCGTGGTTCGTGAATTATGAATTTTGTTTTTGAGATGCGAGGATCCAAAAATGGGATAAATGAGGACATACACCCGATGGCTCATCATCTGTTAATTAAGGGCAAGTCTGTCTTCCTTCTGTCTTCAACAGGAAGTTTCAATCGTTTTTGTCGTCAATCGATACCTCATTTCTTTCTTATCTATGCAGGTCTTCATAACTTGTACTTAAGTAAAAATCGTACTTTGTACTTAAGTAACTTCAGAACAAAAAATAGCTAAACCTAACTAAACCTAAAGCAATAATCTATTCGTAAGTACACATGTGCCACTTAAGGGTGAGTTGCACTCGCTACAGCACTCGAAACATCGTGTAAGTTTATCTCAATTTTCCCATCACACGTTAAACAATTGTTTCGTGATTCTCCATGGTACGCGTTACATACGAATTTATCTTCTCCAACGACTACTAAAAATGGCCACTTTTCGACTCAGTCCTTTCACCCCCTGCGATGAAACGCACGGTCACGGCTCGCAGACCTCCCCACGGATGACAGAATCGATACTTTTGGGCGAAGGATGGATTTACCGTATCGCGGTTGATCTCTGGCAATCAGTCAGAAGAGATCGGGTTGTATTAAATCCTCCTGTCCCCGCGATAGCGACGATTGCCCGCGCTTCCCTCGGTAATCGAAGGAATTCGAAGAAACGTTTCCAAACTACGGGTGGCAACTTGTCGACGACATGAAACTTTCAGCGACGCGAATGGCTCGAGCACCCCTACAGAGCAGTGATTCTTAACTACCGGGCCGCGAACGATTGGCAACAGATCCGATCGATTCCTGAATCTGTTACCGTAATCCAATGAAAGTAAAAGTCTGTTCCCAAACAAAGCGTCAGTTAATTTTAGTCTGGAACAAAGAAACTTTAAGAAGAATTTTAATACATGTTTACGTTTCAGCTGATGCTCCTTTCGAACCAACTTGTTCCTTTTCCTTGGAGTTATAATTCACTAGCAATTTATTATTGAATTATTTAATCCTCTGTGTGCGAACTGGGTCATGGAAAATCTGAGCTAACTTTTGCTCTCAAGTTCCTGCGAAACGAAGATGGGCAGAAAACCCTTCCCCGTCCTAATTCCACTTTCACGACTATCGGATGATGTTCTGGAAACTTCAAAATATAATCCCAATTTTTTCCACGTATTCTTTTTTTTTAAGCTTAGAACATAAAAATAAAAGCTTGGAGTGGGCGTAAACGACCTAGTTTGCAGACCACGATGGCAGACACGCCATTTCAGTACGAACGAGGTCGAGTTTGGGCTCATCTCTGGCAGGAGATCTTGTCGATTCACCGATATTACTACTCTCAAAGGTATAATGAAAAATACAACAAATTCTACGGATCACGCGTACGGCACCGCTTCGAAGTACGGTCGCCGAGCGTACCTAGAACGAGACATAACCCACTCTAGAAGTAAATTCCATTCTTTCCATCCTTCCAACAGCTCACTCGAATCGGCAAATTGTATCCTCTCGACTATAATTAAGTTTATCCTGTGTAACCTCATCCAGAAAGACTGGCCACTTCGAAACTCTGCCAAGAGTTCGAAAATAATAAGAACCACTGCTCCAGAGACTCGAGACTCGATTCGCGCTACGACGGAACGTAACAGGTCCCCAAAGGCGTTCAGACAAACACGACGTGGGGCTTCTCGGGAAGCGGCGGTTCGTAATCGTAATCGTAATCGTAGTCGTAACCGTAGTCCAGCCGGTGTCCGTTGGACCTGGGCGCAGCGGGACTCTGCATGCGATAGAGGGACATCACTTCCGGTGGCTCGTCGCGGAGATCGGTCACGTCCGCCACCGCGTACACACCCTCTTCCGTTTGGCCGCGATACGGCTGTTCTCCGTCTCGTCTAGAGACGCGGTTGTACTTGGGGGTCTCGTAAATGTTCGTGTCCTGGGACTGAGGTGGACTCGGCTGGCCGATCTTGCCGCGCGGCGTGTCGTAGGGGGTGTCCTCGCTCCTTGCCAGCAAACGTCTGCTGTACGACTCCGCGTTCTTGTCCATCTCGTCGTTGTTTCTGCCGACGTAAACCAGGAACTCGGGGCGATTAGGGGCGGCGTACGCCATCCGTTTCTTCCTCTTCGTCCTCGTGAGATGCGCTATCAGCGCCAGAATGGTCGCCGTCGCGGCCAGACAGCCGGCGGCCGACAACGACAGATAGAGAGGACTCAGACGGCAACGTAGCGAGCCCTCCGATAGGGCGATCAACGCTTTCCCAGCGAACTCGTCGTCGCTGCAGATGATATCGCGGGTATCCAGTTCGAGCCTCGACTCGTTCCGTCGTTCCTCCGCCCTGATAACGTTCCACAGCCAATGCACGGAGCAATTGCAGACGAGGGGATTGCCGCCGACTCGTAGAGCGGACAGCCCGTCCACGGGGAACTGCGTGGGTTGCAGGGTGGAGAGGCTACACCGACGCAGGGACACCCATTTCAGATATCTGGCACTGTAAAGAACCCTAGCGGGTAGCTCCTTCAGCCCCCGATTCCCGTCCAACGAGATTCGCTCGAGATTCACGTTGTCGGCGAACGCCCTCGCGTGAACGCTCACGATCGTGCAGTCGTTCAACTCGAGGCTCCTCAGTTCGAAGAGATTCCTAAATCCGACCGGTTCGAGGCTGCCCAGGGGGTTACGACTGAGCACCAGGTGCGACAGAACGTTCAGCCTGGCCAGCGAAGACGTGGGCACGGACGTCAGATTGTTTCCCGATAGGTCCAGACGCAACAGGCCCGGCAGACGGTCGAACGCGTCGTCAGCGATGTTTCTGATAACGTTGTTCGCGAGATCCAGCGAGACTAACGACGGCAACGAGGGCAACGAGTCCCTGTCCAGCTCCTGGATCAGATTGTCGGACAGGTCTACGTTCTCCAGACTGGGTGCCAGTGCCAAATTGTCCGTCGGGATCTCGAGCAGCGAGTTTCTGTTCAGAACGAGGGTGCGAATCTTGTGCAGATTCCTCAGCAGGCCCTCGGGCAAACTGGTGATTGGGTTGTCGCTGAGATTCAGGACTTCTAGCTCGCTGGTGCTCTTGAACGCTTGCTCGTCCATTTCGGAGATGTTGTTGCTGGCCAGGTTCAGCTCCTTCAAAATGTTCATACCTTGAAGCGCGTTCTTCGCCAACGCTCTGACCGCGTTGTCGCTCACGTTCAGGGCGACCAGGTTCTTCTGGAAGACGAAGTTGTCCGAGCCCAACGTGTGGATGGCGTTCGAGGTGAGATCGAGGGTCTCCAGGTTACCGTAGAACCCAAACGAGAGGTGAATGTTCCCGACACGGTTGTTGGACAGATCCAGGTGCTTGATTTCCGGATTCAATTGGATCGGAACGACCTCCAGGCCCGCGTAAGCGCAGGATGCGCTCAAGGTGTCGTCGTCGCAGCGACATTGCGTCGGACAGAGACCGTTCGTCATCACTGACATCGCGACGGCCATCGCTATCGCGACTGGCAGCGTCGTCGCCGTGGGGCCACGTGATGCCATTCCATATGAACTCCTCCTCCACTGGAACTACCCTGGAACAAAATAACATAACTTATAATACAAGCATTTGGGCCTCCAGCTAATATAGTTATACCGTTACGTGGTATCTTAATAGCATCTTGCTAAATAATTCACGTGTACTACAAGGATACATAAATAATCCGCGCAACAGTCGATGTAAGTACATTATAAATAGAATTTATCCTACTGTTAGTCACGAATAAACACCAAAATAGAATAGTCGATACCCTGATTATCTCCACACTCATTCCGGTTTGAAAATTGGTTTTTAGGGCTCGCCGTGTCCTCGACTATTTATATTAACAAACAGGGGAGGTCCTACAGGTAGAGTCGAAACTTTCGAAACGCTTTCACCCCTGTATTTATTTCAAACGACCAGAATCGTAAATTCCGTCGCACGCTTCAACATTTCCCTCGAGGAGACGCGATTCGAAACGAATTATTATACCTCGCTAAATACCTAACCAGCGAAGTTCGTTCACCGCGTCGAGCACGAGACGAGTGAATGGCGTTCGTGACTATTGGAAACAGTCCATGAGTACGCACGACGTACTCCTCGTACGGAATGCATCGAACAACATGTCATTGGTCCAATGCCAGGAAGCCACCCCACCCCGTACGAGTCAACCCAAACTTCGCGAAGTTTCAAGTTACGACGGCCACTCAACCCCCCGCAGCCATTGCTCTCTATACCCTTTTTCCAGGGAGATAAAGACGTTTCCCTCCGACGGTGCTTATGTTTCAACCGCGGTCTGTTAACTCCAAAGAACCCCTGGCACCCCCGAACCACCTTAACGTTGTCTACCAAACGATCGGGCCACTTTAATATCGAATAGAAAACCTATAACCTTTAATGGCGGGCATTGTAAGTCGACTTAAAATAACCTTTTCTCCTTTCATTATTGCGTAGCTATACGTGGCCCTGGAACGGGAGCTTCACCACGGCTTAGCGGCCAGAGCCGGTGTAATTATGTAAACGATATAACCCCCGAAGGCGCGGAAACCCGAACACGCCACTGACTATCCCGCACGGGGAAAGCAGAGTTCGTCGAAATAAAAATCCCTGGGTCGCAAAAGAACCTTTGTAAGCGGGCAACCCGGCGAGAAGCGTAACTACCCTTTACGTTCGCCGGTTTGCTGCACAAACTCGATGCAAGTTTATTTACGGACACCTGCACGTTCAATTCGCCCGTTCGGATTTTCCGCTGCAACCCTCCTTCCGTCCGTCGGGGTTGGAAGGAGAATACGGTGCCTGGCGAAAGTATTCGAACGCTCTCGAATCAAACGCTCCTCGACGAAGATTAAAATTATAATCCTGTTTCTCCTCGCGAACTTTCCTCGTGTTTATTAAGTGCGATCTTCGGTGGTAAAGGGTAGGTTTTTTAGATACAGACGTCGGAGCTCGGGGAACTTGTTACTCTCTTTCAGGAGGTTTATACTTGAGTGTTTTGATTCGGAAATTCATGTTACTATAATTATAAAAAGTTATGACAATACCAAGTGCATTGACGCTTACATTCGAGATTTTTCAAAAAGTGGAGTTGATCGATTTGTCGCAGCGAACGGCTCATTTATCACGTTTTCAGCACCGCCTCCCTCGTTCGAAACATCTGGAAGAAATTTCTCAAGCAGATCTCTTCTCATTCCCAAGATAACAATGCAACTGGACCGCTTCGAGTATGACACGTTCGTTCGTGTAATTTTCTCATACTTTCTTCGGTCGATGTAGCGTATCCAGCCAGCGGCGATGCTGCAGTGTGTCAACTTTTTTCCAACGTCCTCCCTGAATAAATAACATTAGCCCCCGCGGGCGCGAAAGGAACAATGATAACGCGGAATAGTTTGAAAAGCGAATCGCGTGCGGCTCGGCTCGTAGCCGGCTCGAAAATTAACAAGCCGATAAAAACTTTATTCGCCCCATCGTTTTTATTATCTCCGCTCGGGAAACGGCGCGCCGATTGCAGACCTGGAAAACTTCCTCGAACACGTTTAGCGCCCGTGGAAAATAAGGGGCGGGATAAAATTGATGGAGTCGGTTAATTGATTCGTCGAGTTTTTCCTTTAACGAGCCTTTATTAATCGTGCTGCTACCACTCGCATGACGGGTGTTTTCGAACAAGGGATGGCGCTTGCGGGGGCGTGCACAACGGTTTGCGCGAAATGTAAAGGGGTTCGTAATAAGGGAAGGTTCGACCCTTTGGAGTGAGAGAGTTTAAATGGGCTGTCTAATCGAGGACTATATCTGCATAGCTATGCATACTGATGGGACAGGGGTCGTAAGAATAATAGTTTATTTTATTTTATTGTACCGTGGAAAATATCGAGAAAAGAACAGATGACTTTTTCCATAACTTGATAAAAGCGTATTACGGTGTATTGCAAGTACCGTTTCTACATCCACTCGCGTAATAAATCACTGCAGAGTGATTCGATTCATTGATTCAATTCGTTCTTCGATTACTCGACAATCGTTGCGATATAAAATGCCGTGAATTCGGAATTTGTTTTATTACCAACGAAACAGACATACGGTTACGCGAATTATTATTTCCACCGTTTGTAAATTCCATTCAATCGGGAAGTTTTATTTTCAAGAACTTTTACTCGTCTTGATCGCGTTGAAATGATGTAAACATTTTCTTTTTCAAGGTGCCATTTTAGTTGTTCGAATGGAATCTATTAAAGGAGTTCTATAAATGTCCTGACCCCCGCCTTAAAGCGAGAAAATGACACCGAGAATCGATTTTTTTTTTCCAGACACGTGATATACCATCCGGGAGCTGTTTCTTTTATTTACAAGAGTGAAGAAACGGGATTACGCTCGCCGCGTTCGTTTTTTCGCGGTTAGGAGCAACAATCGTAGCTTGCATAAACGCGAGAGAGAAAAACGGCGTCCAATAAGAACGGAAGACGAGTGAATTTCACATGCGAATAATTTAATACGTACGGAATATACCGTAAAATTACCACGATAACGTTTAATTACAGTATTATTAATATCGTTACACACTAATGGCGGTATTATCATTTTATCTCCTGAGTTACCCGATGTATATGCCGCGTTTTATCTCTGGAATTATTAAACTGTAATTATCGAAGCTCCTCATAATTTCAGTATACTAAAGGATTAAAATGGGCTTTATCATTTTTTTTCCTCCCGGAAAAAATAATTATATTATAAATGAAAATTGGTTGAAAAATTTAATAGAGTTTTTTATGATAATACTTGTTGTTTCTACTACTTCAGGCAGTTTCTCGGCTTTCTTGCCATTTTGTAAGATAATTAAAAAATGGAAATATTGAAAATGCTGGGACCTCGATGGTACACGCTATAGGTAAAGATTTTTTCTATGGCATGCCTGAGTTCCGAGTGGAATTTTCGAAATATTCTCGTTCTGAAAAATGTCGTTTAGAGAAAAAAAAAAAAATGGTTTAAAAATTTCAGAGAGGAAGAAAGCCTATTATTGGATTTTATTTCAACCTAGGTTTAATCAGCGTCTCTCCGTCATTTCAAAAAATTCATCGTCAGCCTATTTCCTCAGGCTGAGAGCTCCTCTTGTCTCCTCTTTTAATGCTGGCAATGCGAGCGATGCCGGACTCCAGCGTTTTGCGCATAAATTCGTACCATTATTACTCTAATCTTTTGGAAGAATAAAATTAAACAAAATTTCTTCGAATATATAGATAAATTGTAATGGTCGTCGGGTCGAGGGTTACATGTATACAGATTCAGTTCAAACTTGGAACAAAATGACGGGTAAACATTTTTGCTTGACCTACAATTAAAAACGATCGAATGTAGAGGCACAGGTTTGATTTCTACACGAAATGAAAAAAATCGAAACTTAAAGGGTTTAAAGGACCCAACCACTCCCGTGATCCGCCATGTTCGCGCCCTCCCGTGAAGAATTACGTTTCGAGAGGGCTGTAACGGTTCGCCAGCGACGTAGGATTAACGTGAAACGTAACGTCATCGAGGGCGACCGCCGATAATTTCAATTCCGTAACTAGTCTCCTGGCAAGTGTTCCGCGGCTTGGATGTTCCCCGAAAGCCTCGTTTCGGTAAGTGCTGGCCGTGCCAGTAATTTTTCACGTCCCTCTTTCTCCTTTTTTTTTTCTCTCCTCTCTCCGGCCCCGGGAATAACGAATGGCGCTGATCTCGCTGTCATGTATAATGCACAGATTTACAGCATTCCGCTATCTGACAGACCTATATGTCCTCAACCTCTCTGCCCTCTCCCAGAGACCCCGCAAAAAAATATACAGGCGGACGTTGACATCCGCGGCGTGTAATATCCCTGCACGCGGCCCAAAGTTATTTTCTTCTGAGAAATAGCCTAGTTCTATCTTTGTCCTCCCCCTTGTACGATGTTTGGACAGCGAAGGGTGTAAGGGGTGCGTTTCGATTGGAACAGGCTAGGATTCCTTCGGACTAAATCGTTTGTACAAGTGAGGTATATAATTTGCAGAGTATTCGATGCTTAAGTGTAAGGTTTGGTAGAGGTAGGGCTTTGGAAAAATATTTTTTACGTTTTTTGAACATCGGCGTAATGAAGGAAAAATTTGTGAGTCGGTACTGTTTGCTGTCTCTGGATAGAAAAATCCCATTGGCCCACTTTTCGGTTCGTTAAAACGACTACTTAGCACGGCTGCGTGTAAATGGCTGGACGAGTTTCAATGAAACTTTATGTTTAAGTTTTACGTCCTCGAGGCGAGATTTAATTAAATTTTCACGGCAGGTAAGTGTTTCCAGAATAAGAGAGGAAGAAGTCAAGAGATTTTCATATCTGGAAAATCGGCGAGAAATCGAACAGTTTTACGAAAACTGTCGCGTTCTCTACAGTGAACGAACAAATTTACCTGCTCTGTAATAATCGTGATTCATACATTTCGAGCTGCTTAGTAAATTCCCCTGAATCTTACTAATAATTCTTGAGAAAATCTCAATTATATTCGCTACGTCAATTTCTTGACCTGCTTCTCCACATTTTTCCCTCGGTCCAGAAACATT